AGGGTTTAGTATTGCTGAAATCAGTTATGGAAAAACTGTTGCCATGGCAACGATCGTCATGATAACGAGTAAACAAAAACCCGATTCCCGTGGTGAGGAAATGTGTGTGGTTGCCAAGTTGCATCGGGTTTTGTTTGACTGAAATCAGTTATGGAAAAATTATTGCCATGGCAACGATCGTCATGGTAACGAGTAAACAAAAATCCGAATCCAGTGGTGAGGAAATGCGTGGTTGCCAAGTTGTATCGGGTTTAGTATAGTTGAAATCAGTGCAGTCTTCGACCTTCAAATTTTGTTCTGCTAGTATTCAAACAATAACTTGATTCGAATGAATACCCTTCTTATCAATTACTTGAAGACTGTTCGTCGTTGATTGATTCCCAAATTACTACTTCTCTGACGATCATATATGGAAATAACGTCAGGAAAAAATTGGCTTTGTTATTGAACAGAGCTAGACACAATAGCGAGCGACAAAATAGTGCGGAACAAATAGCGCATAAGGAAGGAATACTTTTTCTAAACAATCTGACCTAACTCGGCTTAAATGAACCTTCTTAGAAAAAATATATCGATCAGATTTGGTAGCAAGGCATCGTTCGTATGTGTTTGAAGACTGCATAAAAAAGGACACTACTTTTCCAAACAATCTAACCTAACTCGACTTGAATCAACCTCCTTCTTGAAAAACATATATTTTCCGACATCGTTCAGATTTGGTAGCAAGGCATCGTTCGTGTATGTTTGAATACTGTTGCTGAATATTCCAAAATGGCTCTGTTTCTTTTTGATTTTGTCGAATAGCTCGGTACGCGAAGAATGGTTACATTGAAGAGTGTTTTTGAAATTAATGAATGAAGCAATAATTCTCCGATACAAATTGGCAACCACGCATTTCCTCACCATGGAAATCGGATTTTTCTTTACTCGTTACCATGACGATCGTTGCCATGGCAATAGTTTTTCCATAACTGATTCCAGCTAAACTAAACCCAATACAACTTGGCAACCACGCATTTCCTCACCACAGGAATCGGGTTTTTGTTTACTCCTTACCATGAAAATCGTTGCCATGGCAACAGTTTTTCCCTAACCGATTTCAGCTATACTAAACCCGATACAATTTGGCAACCACGCATTTCCTCACCACGGGAATCGGGTTTTTGTTTACTCGTTATCATGACGATCGTTGCCATAGCAACAGTTTTTTCATAACTGATTTCAGCTAAACGAAACTTGAGCCGCATTGTTGCAAAAGCGGCAAGTAACAGTCTCTGCAGTTAATCTGGATACATTAATTTCTCGAGTTAGAAAACTGAACTTGATCCTAGAAATTCGAAATGAGTGAATTTTCGCATATAGAGGTTTGAAAGCATGACGAATAAAACTATAAAAAAAACCTAATTAGTGTAGTAAATTCGAGACCCTATCGTGTCGTTTTTTTTTTCTGACGTAGAACCAGGTCAGACATGGTAGGTTTTGTTGACCATATCACTAGGTATATGAAATCGTATTTTACGACATTTTTCTGTGGTCTGGAACTTTTTAACTGAGAAAAAACTGAAAAAAATGCACTTTGAATAAAATGTATTTTATTTTGTTTCCACCGTCATATCTTTGAAATCAATGAAGATATCGAAGTGTTTCTTTCTCTAGGTTGAACTAAACACAATAGCGCTTCTAACAGTACCGATGGATTTTACAAAATTTTCTTCTTTCATTTTTCAAAAATCAAGAGAGCATGGAGTTCAGAATTTATGCATTACAATTTGCACCAATCGATAAACTTTTTTATTTTTGGAAATTTTTGTATACATATAGCGAAACAAATGAAGCTCATATATGATAGAAGTTTTTGAGCTGATTATTTTTCCTCCATTTTGTATAGTTTAGCAACAATGATTTTTTTATTGCTCGCTCAATATCGGCACGCGCCACCGCAAGACGAGGGTGGATTAGCTTGATGTAAACGGCATTCAGCGTAACATCTACATGCGCCGATATTTATAAGAAGTTCTCTGAGAAAATGGGTGTATTATTTGTGGAAATATTGTGCGGGATGATGACAAATCTGTGGTACAAAAACCTAGAATACAAGGATTGTTGTCACTAATAGCTAGTGCTGAGAGGAGACAAGACAATCGATCAAAAGAAATTCTATCGCAAAAAAAAAGATTTTTCAATAGTGACCTAAAAATAAAGTTTCACTCAGACTGCCAAAAATCGCACACAAGCTTTCAAAATATAAATACTATTTTGCGAAATGACAGTGAGGCCGGATCCTCAAATTATTCTGGACCTCGGTTTGAATCACAAACATTTGATATCAGAAAAATGTGCCTTATCTGCAGTAGTACTGGAACAAAAAAGAAGGAAAGTTTGATATCTGTTGAATATTTTTTGTATCGTGTTAATTCTTGATGAGTCTCGAGGTTCATTTGCAAATAAATGATTTCTAATGATCTGAGGCATCTTATGCATTTGAAAAAAAAAATAATCTGGTTGGGACATGGCTTGACTGTGGACTCCTGGGACAGAAATGAGTTCATTTTAGCCAACTTACCTATATCCAAAATCGTTTCGTTGAGTTGGTACAGGGCGTTAAAGTACTCACCTTAGGTACTGAATATTTATCGCTAAATTTGTAACACGAGAGTTCTTGTAAAGCCCGCGAGGACCAGCAACATATCAGTTTGTTTACAATAAGAATACATTGTAGCCATGATTCATAAACAGTCCGACTAATGAGATTAATTTTCAAAAATACCCGAGTTTCAACTTTTAACGATTTAGAGAGGACTTTTTTGACAGCTGTAATTAATGCTGGGCGCAGATGTCGAGCACTTCGAACAGTGGTAGTTTTTGACACCTACAATGAAAATTCTGTGAAAGCTATAAGCACATTTTAACGTTATTGGTAGCCGAAAATTACAGAAATATCGACACTTTTTGAAACCTTATAAAATAGAACAGTCAGTTCTTATTTTTCCAAACAGAATACAAAACGCTGCGAAGTACTTGAACGAAAATGAAATATTGATGACAGCTAGGGGATTCAAAATGTCAGAAAAAGTAGTTCTAATGCATAAACATCATTCGGAAATTGTTAAGGCTCTATTTTTTAACAAACATGAATAGGCAGTTACAAGGATTATTTTGCATGCTATACTTGAAACTGAATTCAGCAGATTTTACTCATCCACTTTTTTTGTTGAAAGAAAGTAATTTATTTATGCATCTTGGAAACGGTACTAGCAAACGATTTATCTCAAATGAAAAAGTAGTGCGAAGTTCAGGACCTACAATGTGTTCTTGTCTGTTGGCACTTCATTGTTCTACTGGTTGCGACACAACTAATAGTTTTTTCACAATAGGAAAAAAATTGACGTTTGACGTTCTTAAAAAAAACTGTCTGCAGAGCTTCCCCCAAGTGAAGGTGCTTTTTACCAGCACTTCTCAAGGTGAACGTGAAAATTATATTCATTATTACATTATGAACATACTCATATTCATATTAAAATAAGATGACAATATTTCAGTTGACTATTGAAATTTTAGGTGTATGTATCAACTCAGAATATGGTTCAGCAGCAACATAGCAACACCACTTATAAATACAGATGATTCAGGATGGAATTTGAATAACAACGTTTGGATTTCAATATTTTCGAATGATGAACCAATTCCTGGTTCTGTTCGGCAATCATAAAGTATCTTTTGTTCGGATAAAAATTGTGATAGTCGAAAATGTGGTTGTTTCAAAGAATGCCTAAAATGTTGTGAAGATTGTAAATGTCGTTTTTGTGATAATGTTACCGAAGATTCTGATGGAGATATAGGAGAAATTGACGAACTTGAATACTTTTGATGTACCTAATCTATTGGAATATTAAAAAAATAAAAGTTGTTTTACGCATACGTTTTTAGTTCCGGTCAAAAATGATTAAATAATCATTCTGGAGGAAAAGGAAAGAATTTAGTTTGAAACATTGATTGATGTATCATTTAGATAGTTAAATATTTTGAAATATAAACATTAAAAGGTATTATCCCATCAGAAGTCCGACCATAACGTACGTACGGATCTGCTACCTATGTAGTCGACAGACATAAACTGTGTAATAAGAGAGCCGGGCGCGCCCGAGCGCAATTTTAGCCCGTTTTGTTAAAATCGCTGACTGTATACATACATACATACATGAAAAATTATCATTCCAAAAACTTTTTTCATACATTTCCCCCATTTTGTTCGCATAATGTATACACAAATTTCCAATAATAAACTTTTTTATCGATTGCTATAATTTACATCTACAAAAATATCGATGTCAAGTTTGTTATCATTTCAACAGATCGAATAAAAATATATTAAAATCACAAAGTAGGTGGTTAGAACCGCTATTGAATCTTCTTTAATTTAAAAAAAAAAGCCCAAAACCACAATTACTTTGAGAGATATAACGGTGGGGACGTAAAAAAACATGTTTTACATATTAATCCATTTTTTCGAGTTTTTTGAAATAAAAAAGTTCACGACCACTAAAAAATGTCGTAAAAAGTGATTTCGTGTACACGACCACCTAATTGAAGAAATGGACCAGGTTTTACCTGGTTCTACGCCAGTTTTTTTTATCTCAGAAACTAAGCGACTTTGCTCTCGAAATTCGCTCGTCTAAATATGATTTCTTGTGAAATCGACCAATTTTGATTTCAATAAAAACATACAGCACTGTCCAAAACGCTGTTCGTCTCTGAAAAACTGATCCCTCGGCTGATGATATATTGATGGTTATATTATTATAACAGTCCAAATATGGTAAGAATCGCACGACGAATAGACGTTTTATTTTTAGTTTTTTAGAATAATATCGACCTTCTTGAAATATAGTGAGGCTGTAAGCTAAATGCGGTTTTCTTAGTAGTGGAATGAATTATTTCAACTCAAAATGATTATTTTCTAAAGACGATTTGAAATTCATAAATGTACCTTGATAACTCACCATACTCAATTTAACGTTTCCATATGAGTGTATAAGGAAACCAAAAATAATTCCTATAAACCAAGGAGGCATGCGAGCTGGAGTCGGGTAATAGATCCTCACTAAATATTCTTTGTTTGCCCTGTTGGAAAGAAGGAGAGTTTATATATAGGGTGTCCCGAAATTAGCCTGCCAAACTTCACTAGCGGCTTCTTTGACCAAAAATGGGAAGACGAATTTCAATGAACATGAGTCGAGAAATGTCTCCTGAGGGAGCTACGGCCCCCTGGAAGGGGGCTCCTGAAGATGATATTTCTTGAATATGTCCGAAACGCCACGTGATGAAATGATGTTATTTGGTACAAGAACTAAAATTTCCATGCCCAATGCGGTGAACATAAAATCATTTCAGAGTTTAATTCAGGAGTGAAATATACAGGGTGGGACTACATTAAATATTGCTCAAACTTTTTCGTATGCATATTTTTTGACAATTTAGTCTCGGATTATAAAAATGCACACCATTTCACAAAAATAAGTGCTCCTGTTCCGCATTGATCAAATGTATCGTTTTCGAGTGAAATCGATATAAAAATATTGATGCACTCACATCTTATGCATTACGTTGCCAATTTTCAAATCATAGTGGCTATAAAAAAATCAAGTATTTTCTTTTTACCAAACAATCTCATAAAAGCGCGAAAAATAGGAAAATGATGATGAAAAAACTACTTCAATTTTCGTGCATTTTTTTTTCATTCTCACTACGCCTCATTGCAATGATATGCATAATATCTGAGATGTAACAATATTTTTCTACTCACATAACTAAAATGGCATTTAGCGTACGGATATGTACCACGCTAAATGATCGATTAATCACAAATTGTCGATCTGTGATTTATTCAAAATATTAAACACGTTACCATGGCAACACGATTTCTTAAACACATTACCATGGCAACACAGTTCATTAAACACAGCTTCAGTAATTTGAGACATGTCTGGCCTGTCAATTGTATCAACTGTCAACTGTTATTTTCGAATTTTGTATCAGAATTATTCAAATAATATTCGTTTGTATCAGAATTCTTCATTAAAAATATATGCGAAAAGTAGACGAGAGTGAAATCGAAGAGAATGTTCTGGTACTTGCATATCTCCAAGAAGTGTCAAAATGAAGCATCCATCTTTGAGAACAATTTATTTATTCTGCGCTAAGCATGACAATAAACGACTGGACATATCTACAATAACCAATATCACTTATACGTGTCTCGCTGGTCGCATGCAGTTGCATGAATTATTTTGTAGGTTAGCAGGAATTGCAGGTATATGTTAATGTAATTTTCGGAGTTCGTAGAAAAATCATAGTATGTAACGCGTTTATAAACTCTTCTAGACCCTCGTTTATTAAACACTCGCTCCGCTCTGCTCCGCTCGTGCTTAAACTACTCGTTACTAAAAGGACGTTTATAACACTTGTTACATAATATACTATTTTAAATTGCTTTTACTCGATAACAATACATCTGATCGTCACGGAACAAGAGTACCTTTTTTCTGTAGAGAGGTGTGAACTTTTATAATCCGAGATTAAATTGTCGAAAAATATGCAAACAAAAAATTTGGAGCAATATTTAATGAAATCCCACCCTGTATTATACACTCCTGATTGAAATTTTGAAATGATTGTATTCACATCTCATTGGGCATAGAAATTTCAGTTCTTGTACCAAAGGACATCTTTTTATTACATGGAGTTTCGGAAATATTCAAGAAATATCATCTTCAAGGGCACCCTTTCGGGGGGCCATAGCTTCCTTAGGAGACATTTCTCGTCCCATGTTCATTGAAAGTTTTCGTTTTATTTTTGGTAGTAAAAGCCGCTGGTGAAGTTTGGCAGGCTAATTTCGGGACACCCTGTATAGTTTGACAGCGGAGGAAATAAGAGAATGGTTCTATCTGATCAATTATGGAATCGACGATATTTCCGGGAAATAACAGGATGGATCGATGTAATTTGTAAGGATGTATTGTTGGAATCATAATGAGACTTTTCCTCCATATAAACATAAACATGTATATTAAAATGCACCCCTTCAAGCCATAGCCACTGTAATTTGGGTAGAACAAAATTATCTGAATATAACGGATCAAGTGCAAGTTTTCCAGTACTGCCTCTGGAAAAGCAGTCTCAAATGCGTTCCGACATACGATCACCTCCGTATGCAAGCGTTTAACCCACTGCGTTCGAAAACGATGTCTTGACTTCCCCTTCCGTTGATTACGATTTTCTGGCAAACGGTAAGCTGTATGAAAAAAATGCAGAGGACTGAATTCTCGAATTTTTTTATGACCCACAAGGCCATGCTATCCAAAGTCGGAGTATCTCTTTATAAACATAAAGTTTGGGCCAACCCAAGTGTGGACCTCCCTCCACCTCCATCATTTCTGGAGGAAGAAGAAAATGAAGTATCAAAAAATGCCATACCAATTTATAAAAGAATTGATCCGTTATTTTGGTCACAATTTTGAATAATCTTTTTTTTTGCCTTACTGACATGTTCTTATAGAGAAAAAGTACTATTTTGATCCCAGGATTATGTCCTTGAAATATTTACATCGAATTTTTGATCACTGCTCACCAATACTTCCTAATATACAGGTGTTTCATAATATGTGGGATACACATTTGCGAGATACAGGGTGTTAAACTTGAAAATAAAAAAAAAATTTGATTGAATTGCTGAATAACTACTCAACACAAATTCTTGGTGTTCTGGTGGATCACTGAGTACCTGAGAGTGATTGAATTGGTAGCACTATTTAGTGAATCCCAGTGGCACCGTTGAGTGGTAATGATATGTAATTTTTCATAAAAAACATGGGTGGCGATGAAACTTGATATGAAAATTGATGCAATGTTGTAGAAAAAACCGCCAACTGATGAAACTCGTAAAAGTATACTGTTTTCGAGAAAAACGGAATAACCAAATTCAACTCCAAAATGTGTATGTAGCTGTCGAATAATCCATTCAAGACATCTGTTCAGATCACTCTCTATAACCATGAGAGATATTATTCTGGAATTGCGGCACTATGCCAGTCACATAACAGACTGAATTTTGCACCATGATAGCAGTAGTAATACAAAGCGGATTGGTCGCCAGAGCTTCAATAAAATGCCGCTAGTTAGCGTTGGCGCTGGTGTCGCTGGTGTCGCTGGTGGCGCGAAGTTCAAATTTGCAGATGGCGGCGGCGCTGATGGCGGTAAATTTGAAATTGTGAGGTTATGACATCTTAATCATGATGAATTTTTAAATAAATAAATTAAAAAAAGCTGTCACCGCCGGTGGGGGAAATTGAACCAGGGACCTTTGCATTATGAGGCAGCGTATATACGCACTGCGGTATTCCGACCTCCGTGATATTTCAATTATTTAAATGCTATTCAAACGGGATATCCATAGCTGGCGCGCGCGCGCTTATCTTTGCAACGGATCCATCGAGGTAGAGTGAAGCGAGAGATGCATTCCAGAGATAAGAAACTTCGAGTCGAAAATAATATCCATCGCAGGCGCGCGCGCGCTTATCTTTGCAACGGATCTATCGAGGTACAGTGAAGCGAGAGATGCATTCCAGAGATAAGAAACTTCGAGTTGAAAATAATATCCATCGCTGGCGCGCGCGCTTATCTTTGCAACGGATCTATCGAGGTAGAGAGTAAGGCGGCTCGAGCGCGCGGTGCTGCAACGTTGTCGGACGTATGTGTTTGGATGTTAATATTGTTACATTATTGTGTGTGGCAACGCTGTCTCGCTTCATGGCGTTCGAAGATCCAGTGAAGCGAGAGATCCCTTAGAATGATAAGCGCGCGCTCGTATTGGAAACGAATACTTGGATTATTTATTTATTTTAAAGTGGGTGACGTCATGCCGTTACCTTCATGGCGTTCGAAGTTCTAGCAAAGCGAGAGATCCCTTAGAATGATAAGCGCGCGCTCGTATACCCATTCCTCAAACTGTGACTTTAATGACAATAACAAGATTGAATTTTCATATACAGGGCGTTTGAGTTGATTGAAAATTGAAAAAAAATATATACAGAGTGTCCCACGGTTCGCGGTCCCATGTTTTAGCATGGAAGAAGTGTTTGAGTTGAAAGAAATATATACAGGGTGTTTGAGTTGATGAAGATTGAAAAAAATATATACAGGGCGGTCCATGGGGGTGAAAGAATACGAAAACAAAGATAAATAATCTATTTATTTAAGTAATCCTTTTTCTACAAAAATGACATGCCTCTTGAGAAGATGGCGGTCCATCCCAGTGTGTGGTCCAATCGGGACGATTATAATGAACGAAGCATGGCAGTTTGATTTGTAGGTTAAAGTTGCTGCGATATTCTTGAGGAAGTTTGTGCCACACCCTTAATAGCCCATAAGGATCTGCATATTCAATGAGACATTCTACTGGAATGTACTGCAATTCTTGTTCAGTGAATTTCACCAAAGCCATTGCAGGAGATTTCATCGAGTCGAAAATAATATCCATCGCTGGCGCGCGGTTATTTTTGCAACGGATCTGTAGAGGTAGAGCAAAGCGAGAGATGCGTTCTAGAGATAAGACACACAAGTATCACATCGAAATAAATTTATGGTGAAATATTTGCGATAACCGTCACATTGTTGCCAGACGTTGGAAATTATTATTTATGAAGTCGATAAGGTGTTGTCAGATTTTCAAAAAATATCTGATGTCGCGTAATACATGACATATGACGTATGACAGATGGTGTTTGCAATATGATGTATGTAGGGAGTGGAAGGATACGAAAGCAACTATATATTCTCTTATAGAGTAGTCATGGCTAATATTTGTGAGCGCTGTCATCAGCTGTGTACTGTACGAGAACTTTGTAATAATTGTTTTATAATAGAATGCCTCAATAGTGGAGAGCGGATTCCATTTAACATCAATTACACCTGGGAAAGTTTTAAAAAGAGAAAATTCACCTATAATAGACATCAGCTATTGTGTGAGAAATGTGGGAAATTCTTGAATAAAACTAACCTATACCACCATATGAGGAATGCCCATAGAGTGGACGCCACCAATTCGAATAACCTAGCTGATTAGC